GCCATCTTAGATTTTCACAAAAAAAATTGTGAAAAACCTTATTATGGGAAAGGTAAACAAATTTTGATCAGTCACATGGTTTTGTCGTCATCTTGGATTTTCTGCAAAAATGACCACAAGATGGGGCAATTGTGTTTCATGAATAACTTAACCAATCAACATGTAATATAGATGTAGCATGTATTACCAAAACATCTTCTGAGAAAAATAAGATTTATACATTAGTGGGTACATATTTTTCAAACTAGGACCCAACCAAAGCTGCTCTGCAGGTTTTTCTTAAATTTTTTGTTGATATATACTGATAGAAACATAAGTATCATAAGGTTATTATGATTAGGTCAAAGGCTACAAATAAAAAATATCCTATACCACAACATCAATCCATTGATGCGAGAAAATATTCTGCTTTTGTTGATTTTATTTTCAAAGCCATTTGGCATCCCATGTTTGTGTTACACAAGTCTATGGGAGTAACCATATAGCTCTTCTGTGTCTATAAAAATCCTAATACATGTATCTGAAAATAATGATGTAAATAGGTATGTTGAATGTACTAAAGAGTGAAGTAGCTACAGTTCCGTGTTCACTATATGGTCAGGCCTGTACACTAACATTACCATGTATACAAACAAAGACTAGGATGTTATCTGGATCCAAACACTGGAATCATGGCTAAGGCCAAGAGAAAACAAAATGTGTGGTTCCTATAACCCAACCTACCCTATTTTTACTGTCCGACCTTGAACTTTGTTTCAGCATATTTGAAAAAAACATCACAAAATTGTGCTTGGCTTTGAATGAGATTTTACAGAAACTCAAATACTTTGCAAAATTTGGTAATGTAAACAACTTTAAACATGATTTACGACACTCATATCTGCAAAACAATGATTATATGCTAGAAAACAAGCAGCCTGTCGGCTGAGATAGCTCCACTGCTAGCAGTGCACATTTCAATTAAAGAACAGAAGATATCATTAGAAAATGAACAATATGTATAGTATCAAAGCAACGGGACTTGCGGTTTTCAACAAGTCAAAAATATCACTTTTTACCAAAAATATTCACCAAATTAGAGAATTGAAGATATCATTACAAAATGAACAAATCTGAGAGAGGTCCACATGTACTACCTATATATGTAATATCAAAGCAATTGGACTTGCGTTTTTTAACAAGAAGTCGAAAAAATCACTATATACCAAAAATGAAAAAAATATTCACCAAAATTAGAGAATTGAAGATATCATCATGAAATGAACAAATCTAAGAGGAATCTACCCAAGGTACATATACACCAAGTATCAAAGCATTCAGGCTTGTCGTTATCAAGAAGAAGTCGAAAAAGTAAAACATTGACACAGACGACAATGGACGACAACGACGGACAATCACTCATAGGCTTCGCTCGACAAAGTCGACAGCAGAGCTAAAAACAAGCAACAGTTATAACCGAGAAAAATAAAACAAAAAAAACTACCCACATGTACATGTTTTTGAAAAGCATATTATAAGAACCACGGCAATGTTTTTATTTGGCCTGGAGGATTGGAGTGGAGAAGCCAGTTTTCAACGAGTGTGAAGACGGCGTTCGATTCGATTCGTGTTCAATTCACATTCGATTCTCGTTCAATTTGCAATCGATTCAAGTATGATTGAAACATCCACTGATATACCTATAATTCACTCAAATGTTGATATATAGCAATTTTAGTTAATTTAACAATGTTTTTGAGTGGGAAAAATAGAGATCAATTTAGTATTTTCTGTGGAAATCAAGGTTTTAAATACTTTCATTGTGCGCGTGACAGTTCCTTGACGCATCGGCGAATGCCCAGAAGGTCAAAGGACAATGATTATAAATAAAAACATCATCAACGTCCTTGTTTCAAAGATTTATTTGTTTTTTTTAATTGAGTGGTGATAATTTGTGTCTATATAATTTTTTACAAAAGATTCATTTTCTTCAAACATATTTATGCGTTTCTTGTCTGTTTCTAGGGTTATTTTATATTTGTTTGAGCTCACATGACTTCTGATGTGAGCGAGACTGTAGGGCTATTTATAACATGATTTTCTCCAAAAGAAATTTTTTCTACACAAAATATGCCATATATAAACTTTTGTGTAATTTATAGATATTGCAATTTGTATGTCAAACAAACCTGAATCAAACCCGAATTGAACGCGAAACGAACACGAATCGAACCGAACGCTGTCTTCACACTCGTCCGTTTTCATTGATCGGCAGATTCGCACAGCTTGTGTATTTGTTTGTTTGTTTGTTTGTTAGTGTTTGCTAAAGCCGGCCTCCCATTGACTTCCTTATGAGCGGTGAAGATGGTTTCATAGTGACCCTAATTGTTGGGTGCCGTCGATCAACTTCAAATCTAAATATCACACCTTAAAATGCTCATGTACGAAGACTACGGCCGTGAATGCATGTCTTATTATTTAAACATGTGTTACATATAATATACATACCTGATATCTTTAAACTACTAGTACTTTTGTTTGTCAGGGTACTGTCATAAGTTAAAGAATACACACACATGCTTTGGCGTCTGTCACATTTATGGTGACCTCGCAGGTCACTGTACGGTCACGTGACAACTCACAATGTGTGCTTATTGAAATGTTACGCTTATTCCCTGCTTAAAAATGAGTTCACGATGCTTTACCGTTCCAAGGACTTATGAGTACACATAAACATATCTATTTTACAAGTATAAGTCATGTAAACTAACTTTCTGTGTGTCACGTGACTTGATAAAAAATTGAACTTTGACCCCAATAGAATGGCGGACATTTTCAATGTTTTTGTAACTTTTCGAGCAAAGTTCGAAGGATGATGGATGGAGAAACGCTTCTCAAGAAAGCTACTGACTCCATGTTATGCGGGCAGTTACACAAATCGAAGACTTTCTTGAAGAAAATACGATTTTCAACTTTCGACTTCAATGAATTTGTTACAGAAAGTAATCTGACGATTTGTGAACTTTACGAGGTGAGTTTATCGTGCAAGTAGTTAGGAGCAATTCATTTGAAAAGAGGGTGGGTGAGGAAAAATTCGAGGCGTTGAGAAAAAAAATCATCATGGTAAGAAAGGCAATACAAAAACTGTGTAAAGTATTATTATTATTACTATTTATATTATTCTTATTAATATTATTATTATGTATATGAATTCAGGAGATCAAAAATGAAAATAGCAAACTTAAAACAGGTACCAAATTCAAGGAGTTGTACACAATTTATTTACCTAATGAACGCAACTGAAGACAACATAGTAAGACAGATTAGAGAATATTAATTAATATAACATTTTTTTCTATTTGGAGAGAGTGAGCTGACTTCTGACAATTTGTTTGTTTCTTATATCTTGACACTTTAGTGTTGTACACTGATAGAAATGTTATTTCTGAAGATGCAATAAAGCATTATTATTATTATTATTATTATTGTTATGCTGCTCCAGATATGTGTCCTGAAGAGCTGAATAGGGGCATTTGCAGTTAAAATAGAGAAGGAACACTGTAGGGGAAAGATTAGGATTAGAGTTATGGCTGATGGCGCCCATACCATAAAAACAGTGCAGGGGGATACGAAAAGTATCCATATGATATCATGTTATTGTGTTCTAGCTATCAAATGCGTCCACTCTATATATACTGGTCAATGTAAACAAACATGGAATGGCAAAATCTAATTCCCTCTCTGGATGACACAAACATACATGCACACCCCAAACTTCTGTGTGGTCAGGATTATGCAGTTGTTGAGCGAAATAGAATAAAATGTATATTTGAAAAATGGAAGAAAACAAACCCTGCACAAAAAATCCATTCATGCTAAAAAAAATTCTAAAGGCATACATAACAAAATTAATAACATTTCAAGTATTACTAAACAAAGGCATTGTATAAATAATCCCATCTTTTGTTTAGCATATAAATGTCTGAGTGGATATATACATTTACATATATATATATATATATATAATGGGGTGAAGAAATACTGTATTTTCACTATTATTTTAA